ATACACACATACATACACACACACACACACACACACAAAGTATTTCTATATGCTAGCAATTAATAGATATTGAAATTAAGAATACCACTTATAATAGTATCAAGAATATGAAATACTGTCATCAGGAGGGATATAATGACATCAAGTAGGAATAATGACCCAAACAGTGAAAACTACAGAATAATTTGGAGAGAAATTAAAGAGCCAAAAAATGGATAGCTATTCTTTGTTCTTGGGTTGGAAGACTCAATATTGTCATGATATCAATTATTGCCAAATTAATCTATGGGTTCAATGCAATCCTAGTCAAAATTTCATCAGTTTTTTTTTTTTGGTAGAAATCAACAAGCTGATTCTAAAATTCATAGAAATGCAAAGGACCTAGAATAACCAAAACAACTGAAAAAGAACAAAGTTAGAGGCTAACACTAATTAATTTCAAGAATTATTATAGTGCCTCATTATTCAATACTGTGTGATACTTGCACAAAGATAAACAGTAAAACCTTACAGAAACTCATACAAATACAAGGATAACCATTTTTCAACAAAGGTGGAAAGGCAGTACAGTGGAGAAAGAATAACCTCTCAACAAGTGTTGCTAGAATAATTGAATGTCTATATGGAAATAAATAAATACACTTGAATCCATACCTCACACCATAAATAAAAAATTAACTCACAGGCATTAGTGCAAAATTTTAAAACGTCTAGAAGAAAACATAGGAGAAAATCTTTGTGACCCTGGGTTAGGCAGATTTCTTAGATATGACAACGAAGGCATACCCATGAAAAAAATAAACAAAAAATTGACAACTTGGACTTCTTCAAAGTTAAAAATGTATGTTCTTTAAGTGACACTGTTTTGCAAGAAACTACAGATTTTATGATTCCATTTATAACAAATGTCCAGAAAACGTTACTCTAGAGACAGAAAATAGATTAGTATTTGCCTGGGGCTGGACATGAGAACAGGGCTTAACCGTAAATAAGTGCGAAGGATTTGGAAAATGTTCTAAAACTGACATAGGCAATTGTTGCACTACTCCATAAATTTACTAAGAATTACAGAATTGTAAACTTGAAATGGGTGAATTTTATGATATATACAATAACACAAAAAAGTCTGTTTTTTCATTTTTTAAAAAGACAGTGCAGTGGATAAAAAGACAAGGTATGGACTGGGAGAATATCTTTCAAAGTATATACCTGATAAAGGATTTGCATCAAGAATATATAAAGAACTCTCAAAATTCTACAACAAGAAAATCAACAATCTTTTTAATGTGCAAAAGATATGAACAGGTATGTCACCAAAGTAAATATATAGATGGCAAATAAGCACATGAAAATGTGATCAACATTATTGGTCATTAGGGAAATGCAAATTAAAACCAGAGTAAGATATCACTTCATACTAATTGGAAAGGTTAAGATTAAAAGACTGACCATACTAAAGGTTAAGATTAACTTAATTAAAGGTTAAGATTAAAAGACTGACAGAACTAAATGTAAATGAAATGTAGATGTAGAGAAACTACAAGTCTCAAATATTGTTGGTGGAAATGGAAAATGGTACCACCACTTTGGAAAACAGTTTGGAAATTTCTTAAGTACTTACCCAAGAGGAAGGAAATATATATCCACACAGTTAAAGAAGAACTTATTGTGATACTTACTATTACAGTTAAGATTTTATTCAAGATTATTGCAATAGGGTTCACTCACTATGTTGTATAGCTGAAACTAATGTAACACTGTATGTCAACCATACTTTTAAAAAAAAGATGTACTATATGTTGGCAATGAATTTTAAATTAAAAAAAAAGAAATAAACCTTTCTCTATTCACACACACAAAAAGACACTATAATAAGGTATTGCAATAGAGGAGAGAAATTGGGCTCAAATCCAAATACAGCAAATACAGCAAATACAGCTAGGGATGTACAGCTGATGACCAGAATGAGGGTATCATTTGTTGAAAAATTACTATGAAGAGACATCAAGTGTAAAGAGATTCTTGTTAAATTGACCTTGTGATATCGTGATTTTTTTTTTAAAAAAAAAGGTTTATTCATCTATTTTTATTTAAGAGAGAGAGCATGAGCCAGGGGAGGAGCAGAGGGAGAGAAAGAGAAAAATCTCCAGCAGACTCGCTGCTGAGTGAGAGCCCAATGCAGGGCTTGATCTCAGGACCCTGAGATCATGACCCAAGCTGAAATGAAGAGTCAGCCACTCAACTGACTGAGCCACACAGGTGTACTGATATTGAGTTTTTTAATAAGAAATATATATTTGGTTTTCATCTCCATTGCCAGCACAGAGCTTCTAAAACTTTGGAATTTCCTAAGTGATAAGAGCAATAAAGGTGTTTTTGTTAATGTGATAAAACTTTTGGAATGCACCTAAGGATGGGGGCTAGTTGTCAGGGGAATCAATCCTGGATTAGAAGATCGGAACTTTCAGGCCCATCCCATAACCTCCAGGTAGGGGAGAGCAGCTAGAGGTTTACTTGGTTGCCAATGGCCAATGATTTAATCAACCATACCTGCGTAATGAAGCTGTCACCAGCTATACTCCAAGACCTGACCTTTACTGCTCACCTGCTTGTAGCCTCCAAACTTTGTCCCACATTTTCCCTTAAGTCCTTTTTTCCAGTTTATCTCTTAACCTAGGCAAAGACCCAAGGGGCATAGCATCCTGTAATGGAAATCAAAACTACCCCTCAAGCAATAACGACTGCCTGAAGGAAGAGCTCCCGTGGCCCAGACCCCCAGACCAGTTTAAGCATCACCACCTCCCCTGACTCATGCCTGCACAGATAAACTATGGAATGACCCATGCAATGACGGACAGTTACCTTAACCTCATTATAATACGAAAATCTCTGCCCAAGGAGGAGCGCCAGCCTCATTTGCATAATATACAATGTATGTATGTATGTATGATGTATGATGTATGTATAGCTCCTTGTCCTTTCCCCATATCTTGCCCTATGCATCTCTTCCATGTGGCTATTCCTGAGTTATATTCTTTTATAAGACACCAGTAATCTAGTAAGTAAAATGTTTCTCTGGGTCTTGCAAGCTACTCCAATAAATTAATAAAATCCAAGGAGTGGGTCACGGGAACCTCTGATTTATAGGCAGTTGGTCAGAAGCACAGGTAACAACCTAGACGAGCAAGTGGCATCTCAAGTAGAGGGTGGTTTTGTGGAACTAAGCCCTTTACCTGTGGAATCTGATGCTATCTTCAGGTAGATAGTGTCAAAATTGAGTTGAATTCTAAGACACCCAACTGATGTCAGGAGTATTGCTTGTTTGGGGTGTGGGCAACTCCCCTATACACATACTTTGAAACTGGATCCAGGAACCCAATTAGACCTAAGAGGCCAGAGTGCCAAAGGCAGGCCAGATCAGATCAGATCAGATCAAGGATGGGAGACCAGATATCAAGGGTGGGAGAAAATTCTTGTTAAAACTATACTCAGCAAGGATGGACACAAGGCTTAGTTGAGAAGAGGGCTCAGAAGAGCTTAATTAAAGTTTGATGAAGGAGAGAATCTTTGTCAATACAAATACTTGTACATGAATGTTCCTAGTAGCTAAATGATCCAAATGTCCATAAATGGGTGAAAGGATAAACTTTTGTATACCATAAATGGAATACTACTTAGCAGTAAAAAGGACCAAATTATTGATACACCCAACAACATGAATGAATCTCAAAATAATTATACTGAGTAAAAGACGCCAGACCAAAAATTCTCTCTCTCTCACTTAAATGACCCCAAAACTCTAGAAAATTTAAACCAATCTATAATTACAGTAACTAGATCAGTAGTTGCTTGGGGGGCAGGGGCAGGAAGGAAAAAAATCATAAAACAAGAGGAGGAAACTTTTGGGTTGATGGATATTTTCACCATCTAGATTGTGGTGGTGGTTTTACAGTTGCATACATATGTGAAAACTTTCAAATTATACACTTTAAATATGTGCAGTTTATTGTATGTCAATTATTCCTCAATAAAGATGCTTCTTAAGAGAGGTAATAGTTTCCAGTTTCACCTGGCCTCTCAACAGTGTGCTATAGTCTTATATTTCCCTACTTCTTCCATTCCAAGTCCTTATTTCAATCTATTTTTACTTCCCTTCAGCCTCTTACCCTACCTTTTCTTTCTCTCTCTCCCAGGAAATTATCCTTCTATCTCTAGTCTCAGCCTTTTATAATCTGTTCTCCACCTCTGGAGCCAGAAGGACATATGACATCATCCCTTGTTCAGAATCCTTTATTGGCTCCTCTCAGGAAAAAGATCCAAATTGCTTAATATGGATTAAAAGACCCTTTGAATTCTTGGCCCTTGTTTATCTTAACAGTCTCATCTCCAGCCTTCTCTCACCATAGATTCCCACCCTCATCCCAGAGTCCCACTGAAAAGGTCTAGCTACAGTGAACCACTACATGTCCCTCTAGTTTGCCTTTTTATGTCTTTTTCCTCTGCCTCTTTCTCTCACTTTGTCCTTCTGTCTCTCTGTCTGCTCCCACACCCCTTCTTTCTGGCTCTTTCTTTCTCCCCATCCCACTTTTTGTTCTCTTTTTCTACTCATACTCTAGCTCTATTCCCACCCCCATGGCTCTTAGTTTTATGAACTTTATGTCTTTTTTTTAATGGAGCAGAGTACTTCTATGTATTCATCCTAACACAATGAAACTGGTGACTACAATTTATCTGTACAGATGAAAACAGAGTTTTGGATCAAAGCAGGTTAACACTATTTCCTCTAGTTGTTTAACAGCACCAAGTCCTAACAATGCAGTGTTCTGGCCATGGCAGCCTAACATTCTTTATTTAGAATTGTAACTGATAGCTGCCTCCTCATGTGGATGATGTTAGCCTCAAATGAGTTACAGATTTCCTAAAGAATCTCATATACAAAGTACCTAATAGAAGAGTAATAATTTCTTTTAGTAATTGAAGAAAAAATGGAAAATACTAACCTCATTTGAAGAATTTTCTTGCAAATTTGACACAGGAACAATTTCATTTGAATTAACATAATTGCTGACATTTGGAAACAGTTCTTCAAAAGATGCTCTCTGCACTGAGGACAAATCAATCTATAAAAAATATATTACTCTTATAGAAGTCAAATGTGGCAGAAACAATTATTTTTACATAATTAAAGGTGAAATACTATCTCATTGGAAGCATTTTCTTGGGAAAAAGTACACAGTTTCTTTCTGAGGTGATAAAAAGACTATAAAATTAACTGTGGTGATGATTACACATACCTGTGAATATACTAAAGAACACTGAATTTCACACTCTAAATAGGTAAATTGTGTGGTATGTTAATTATAGCTCAATAAAGCTGTTTTTAAAAAAGCCCACCACAAAAAAAGTGTTAAACATAGTTACCATGTGACTCAGCAATTCTACTTCCTCTTCTAAGCGTATACCCAATACAACTGAAAACGCATATTCACACAAAAACTTGTATATGAACATTCATAGCAATATTATTCTTTCAAATGCCCCAAAACTGACAAATTAGTAAACAAAATGTAGTATATCCTTACCATAGGATATTATTCAGCCATCAGTAAGGAAGAAAGTATACGTTATAAAATGGATGAACTTAGAAAACATTATGTTAAGTGAAAGAAGCCAGACACAAAAGGTCACATATTATATGATTCCATTTATATGAAATAGCCAGCATAAGTAAACCTATAAAGAACCCTTTTACCCAGCTAGAAAAACTGATCTTTGCTTAATTCTCATGCTCTGTTCCACTAGGAACCTGATAAAGGTAACAATGCCAACATTGCTAATGGTAAAAATGATGTCTAATTGATAAACTGCATCTGGACTAGGAAGAACTATAATTGCACTATGAATAAATGATAAATGCACTATATGTACATAAACCCTACAAAAAGCACCACAGTTTGGATTTCCCTGACTCTTGTAATTTGGCACGTCTCTTGCAGGGACTCTGGAAGCTATGTCTATGTGGAATTACAAAAGATACTGGATCTCATCTTGTTGTATCTGAGCTGTACCCAAACTGCTAAGTAAACTGCTCCATGGACTTCTGTGAAGACTGATCCCACTGAAGAGGAACACCTGTTTCTACCCCGCTTGTGAGTTGTATTCCTATTGTTTAGTTGAACCTAAAAAGAACTCTGGTTGGATGAGAGCCGAATTTTAAGACTCTTAGAAGAAAACAGAGGGGGAAAATTTAGTAACATTGAATTTTGCAACAATTTCTCAGCTATGACACCAAAAGCACAGAAAAAGAAAAAAATAGATAAATTAGACTGCATAAAAATTAAAGCTTTTGTGCATCAAAGGATACTATCAACGGAATGAAAAGGTAACCCACAGAATGGGAGAAAATATTTGCCAACCATATATCTGATAAGGAGTTAAAATCTAAAATATATAAAAAAACTCCTACAACTCAACAACAAATAAATAAGCTGATTAAAAAATGGGCAATAAGCCAAGATGTCCATCGACAGATGAATGAATAAAGAAGATGTGGTATATATACACGATGGAATATTATGCAGCCATCAAAAGGAATGAGATCTTGCCATTTGCAACAACGTGGATGGAACTGAAGGGTGTTATGCTGAGTGAAATAAGTCAATCAGAGAAAGACATGTATCATATGACCTCACTGATATGAGGAATTCTTAATCTCAGGAAACAAACTGAGGGTTGCTGGAGTGGTGGGGGGGTGGGAGGGATGGGGTGGCTGGGTGATAGACATTGGGGAGGGTATGTGCTATGGCAAGTGCTGTGAATTGTGCAAGACTGCTGAATCACAGATCTGTACCTCTGAAACAAATAATGCAATATATATTAAGAAAAAAAAAAGAAGAAGAAGATAGCAGGAGGGGAAGAATGAAGGGGGGGAATCGGAGGGGGAGACCAACCATGAGAGATGATGGACTCTGAAAAACAAACTGAGGGTTCTAGAGGGGAAGGGGTTGGGGGGATGGCTTAGCCTGGTGATGGGTATTAAAGAGGGCACGTTCTGCGTGGAGCACTGGGTGTTATGCACAAACAATGAATCATGGAACACTACATCCAAAACTAATGATGTAATGTATGGTGATTAACATAACAATAAAAAAATTTTTTTTAAAAGGGCAATAGACTTGAACAGACATCTCTTAAAAGAAGATACATAAATGGCCGATAAGCATGTGAAAAGATGCTCAACATCATTAGCCATAAGGGAAATACAAATCAAAACCACAATGAAATTCCATCTCACACCCATGAGGATGGCTATTATTTAAAAAAACACACAGAAAATAACAAGTGTTGGCAAGGATGTAGAGAAATTGGAAGCATTGTCATTGTTACTGGGAATGTAAAATAGCGCAGCTGCTATGGAAAACAGTATGTCAATTCCTCAAAAAGTTAAAAATGAGAATTACCATTTGCAATTCCACTTTAAAGTGTATACCAAAAGAACTGAGAGCAGAGACACAAAGAGATATTTGAACACCCATGTTCAAAGCAGCATTATTCACACTGGCCAAAAGGTGAAAGTAACCCAAATGCCCACAGACAGATGAATAGATAAACAAAATGTGGTATATACATACAAACAGCCTTTAAAAAGGAAAAAAATTCTAACACATGCTACAACATGGACGAGACATTATGCTAAATGAAATCTGTCACAAAAGGAAAATACTGTATGATTCCATTATATGAAGTATCTAGAGCAGTCAAATTCAGAGGGGGAAGGTAGAATTGTGGTTGACAGGGACTGAGGGATGGAGAAATGGGGATTCAGTGTTTAATGTATGGAGTTTCAGGTTTGCAAGAAGAAAAACTTTGCAAGCAATTCCACATGAAAAAAGTGATGGTTGCATAACATTTGACTGTACTTGAACTGTACAGTTAAAAAGAGTTAAAATTTTAGAAGCACCTGGGTAGCTCAGTCAGTTAAGCATCCCACTCTTGATTTTGGCTCAGGTCATGATCCCAGGGTTGTGAGATGGAGCCCCAAGTCTGGCTCTGCACTGAGAGTGGAGCCTGCTTAAGAATGTCTCCCTCGCTCTCTGCCCCTCCCACACCCAGCTCCCCGGAGCCCTCTCTCTCTCAAAAAAAAAAATCAACATTGTTAAAAATGGTAAATTTTATGTTATATACATTTTGCCACAATAAAAAAAAAAGTGAAAAAACAAAACAAAACCCTGGTTGGTGCTGCAGTATTCTAATCTTTCTTTTATGTACAGCAGTATATAGAGTACATCCAGTGAAAGCAAGTCTGTACAACAGAAAAACAGACATTATCCCCTATGTAGAATATTCCCCTGGTGTGACAGAAACAGAATAATAGGGAGGAGAGGGAACAAAAACATAGATACTACAAGTGCCAAATGCTAATACTCACCACTAAACCAGCAGTTTGCGAAGATGGAGTGCTTGTTAAGAGGCCTCTGCTTTTCTTATCAGGAATACTAGAATTTGTTCTCTATCAGTGTTTTGTAAATAAGGGATTGAATAGCATAAATAAATAAACCAATTTAATACAGTAAAAACAATGTCAAATTAGTAGACTAGATCATAATGTGTCATACTAATAAAACTTTAATATGCTAATTAAATTTTAAACCACTAGACAAGTAACTAAAGAATTTTCTGGCTTGAGCTAGGTCAAGCAACTCTTAAGAGTTCTGCGGGGCACAAGAACCATACAAGAATACTTTGGGTGAAATCACTCTTAATTTAGGAAGAAAAGCTAACTAAAGTTTTGAACTAAGAAATGGTGCTTTGATTGTCTCTTTTACTGCTAAGAAAATTATTTTACTTTTAGCATTTGTTTAATTGCTAGTATATTGTACTTTTCATGGAAACGGATTATAAGTTATTTGTGAAGCTGTTAAACATATATGTAATAAGGATAATTGGTTTAAAATACATACAATTAAATATATAGAGACACTTCGATTTATGCAATATCAAAGTTAGACAAATTATAAAGACTCATTTTCTATTTCTTGAGGATGCAAAGAGGCAGAGAGACAGGTGGACAAATCAAGAGTGAGAGAGCAAGAGAAAGACAGGATGAGAGACCTAAAAGTTAAAGAGAGAAAGGGAAGAATGGGGGAGGGAAGAGGAGTAAGGAAAGGGAAAAAGAAAGGGAGAGAGGAAGGATGAGGAGACAAAAGAGAGGAACACTAAGAAGGAGGGAGGGAGAAAAAAGATGGAGAAGATGGAGACCAACAGACTACGAACAGAAAGAAACTGACAGAGAAACAGAGTCAGAGACAGAGAAGGACAGATGGAAAGAGATCAAGACAGAGACAGAAAGAAGAAAGACAGAGCTTGAGTCGAAGAGACAAAAACCAGGGAAAAGAGAAGCAGAGCATCGAAACAGAGTGACAGAGATATTCGAAAAGAGAGAAGACAGATAACTTTATTTCTAACAATCAGCTATCTTTTCAACTTTTGGATTCCATGAAACAACCAGTCCGTCTGATAAATCTCTTTGAAATCTCTTTGAATAGGTGTTTATTATATGCTGCCAACTTTGGAACACAAACTCAGAGTTGGAATTTGAACATCCTAGGAGAGTTTATGTTAGGTTTCTTTTTTCTTTCTTTCCTCATTTCTTTCACTCTTCCTTTCCTTTCTGGCTTAACATCTCTTAAACTAGTTGTTTGTTCAAGACGTAATATGGGATCATTTATTAGGAAAATTTTTATCAAAAAAATTTTATGGGTATATTTACCTGGCACACTGAATATGTCAGCTCTCTAATTCATTAGCTATTTTATCTTTTAACTTCTTCATCTGAACAATGCGGGATTATTCTACCCCTAAGGATTGCTGTGCAAAGGTTACAAATAATACACGTAAAGAGAACCTGTAGAGTAGGAAATACTCAGTGATAGCTATTATTTATCACTGTGGCTGCCATGGAGGGGCTCGGGTCAGATCTCCTTGAACAAAGAACTTGCTGTTCCACTGCAAGGAGTGCAGGTAGGTGACAGCCCCCCACCCCCTCGACAACTTCTCTGGAAACTGCTTCAGCTTTCAGTTTGAGACCATCATCTTCTCAGGCAACCCTCAGCCAACATTTGAGCATAGGAACGAACGTGAGAATCCTGTAATGGATAATCTTTGCTCCAGACCTTGAAGAGAGAGCTTTTGGCAGATGTTCATTGAGGGCTGAGACTATTCCTACCCAATGCTGCTTTCTCCCTGCTCCTTTTTCAGATATTATCTCTTCCAGTACACCATTTGAACTCAATTCTGCCTGAATATCTGCTTCCCAAGAGACACAGTTGTTAATTGACAAGCCATTTTTTAAGAAATCTGCCTGTGTATAGCTGTAAATATAAAGCTCTCTGCATTTTTTCCCAAATTTGTTAAGAAGTTATACATATCTAAATCTTCCCAATAAGTACATTTCCTTGGTATAGGCTTTTCAAGATTAGTTAATAGAAGGTCAGTGCTTACCAATGTAGGTTCCAGGGGCTGAGACAATGGAATTTTGGTAATTGATCTACCTGAAGGAACCTTGATTTTTAGATGACGAGAACTTAACTTTGTTTGAAAATTTGTATCTCTGGGTTCAGGATCTTTTTCAGGCTGAAACAAATTCATAATCATGATATATACTCCATAGTACTATAAAAATATTTATAGCATTTCTCAGATGTCTTATTTTATTATAACAGAAATATGTTATAATTATTACAATTAAAATAGGTTATGTATATATCAATTATATATACATATAAATTTATTTATATAATTCTATTGTTATTCCCTCAACTTGAAAAAGTTTTCAACTTAAAGATATTTTTGTAAAAAAAAAGGTTTTCTACATATTTAAAAATAAAATCTATTAAAAGACAAAACAGCTTAAAATACACACAACTCAAAAAAATTTCCCTACCACATTTAAGGTAACATCTCCCAAAGAATGTTCTGTAAAAAAATATGATAATGAGGTCTATCCATCTGTCATTAGTTAAAACTAAATTTTGGAGAAAACATCAAATATACTTACATAAATGTATTTATTACATCTTCATTTAAGAAACCAAAAGTACTAAGACATCAGGAAGCTGCAACTACGAAAAAGTGTGTTGCTTTACCAATTAATCCCTGACTAAAACTGCAGACTGCTGAGTGACTGCTTGTCCTATGTAACTTGTCCAGTGCTTCTGAGATGTATTTATAATATTCCCAGTTTACATATATTCAACATAACTAAGGAGGTGCAATTTGAGTTGAGTTCTGAAAAAATGACAGTATTTTGAGTTGTGGCTGAGAGGATAAAGAGAAGGTAGAGAGAGGGGAGGGGAAGGAAGGAAGGAAGCCAAAGAGCTGTAAGGTTCATTCTAAGCAAAGAAAAGAACAAGGGTATGCAGTAAACAGCAAGGTCCTTACTGGCAACTATTGACCGTTTCCCTCATGTATGCCTTACAAACAGCTTTTTCTCTGACTCCTGTCATTATTCTCAGCAATTTCATCACACAAGTTGATAATCCGTCTAACCAACTGGTCTCCCAGTTGCTTGACCTCTGCATTCTCAGTAACCTTTTCCCCTCATGGAATTTTAGACACTCCGTAATCAAACACAGCTCTTACCATCAATAGAAATTAGAGAATCACCAACTTGAATAGTTTCTTATATCCTTCCAGCCCATGTTCAATTATCTTCATGATATAAACTCCGCCCTCAGTGAAATCTCCCACTTCCTGATCCTGCCATTTATCTTCATACATTATCCTTCTCCCGTCATTCCTTCTCTGTCTATCACCATCCATCATTGTCATTATCCTTTTCTCTTCCTATCACAGATGTCCGACGAGCCCCCAACCCTAGATGACTCCTGACATCAACATCTTCTGTACCTCCACTGCAATTAAGTGCTGGGAAAATAATACAATCGGGCATATCAAAGTCACCACAAACTCAAAAGGAAAAACCACAGAATGGCAATGCTTCTACATTTCTCTGGCTTCTCGTGATTATTTCACTCTCATCCCATTGTCCTTAAACCTCTAGCCTCCTTCCCTCTACCATCCTCAGCTGACAGCCTTACCTTACACTGCTCCACAACAAATCAAAAGATGTGACAACTCAGGAACACATTTGGGGGACCTGGTGCAAACTAAAAATGTGGGACCTCTTGTTTAAGAAAACTATTAAAAATGTCAGGGCAACAGCAGAGCATTAAATGAAATGTGAGATTCTTCTAAGCACAAAGCCCATGCTGCTACCACTATATTTACAAATATAGCACAATGGTAATATCCCTCCTCTTCTAAAGGCCAGTCCCTCCACCTGTATTCTGGATCCCGCCTTTCCTCATCTTTTCAAAGATTTCCCTCTTCCACATAATAGCATATGGAATTTGTTGAGGTTTTCTGAAACAGATTATTGAGATATAATTCACATACCATAAAATTCACCCATTTTAAGAGTAAAATTCAATGGTTTTCAGTATATTGGTTTTTAATTTTTATTTATTTTTTAAATTTTAGTTAACATACAGTGCAATTTTGATTTCTGGACTAGAATTCAGTGATTTATCACTTCATAAAACACCCAGTGCTCATCACAAGAAATGCCCTCCTTAATACCCATCACCCATTGAGTCCATCCCCCACCCAGGTTCCTCCATCAACCCTCAGTTTATTCTCAATTGTTAAGTGTCACTAATGGCTTGTTTCCCTCTCTCCTTTTCTTTCCTTTTCCTCTTTCCCATATATTCATCTGATTTCTTACTTAAATTCCACAAATGAGTAAGATCATATGGTATTTATCTTTCTCTGACTGACTTATTTCACTTAACATAATACACTCTAGTTCCATCCATGCCACTTGCAAATGGCAAGATTTCATCCTTCTTGATGGCTGACTAATATCCTCTGTGTGTGTGGGGAGGTGTATCACAACTTCTTTATCCATTCATCAGTCGACAGACATTTGGGCTCTTTCCATAATTTGACTATTGTTGATAACACTGCTATACACATCAGGGTGCATGTACCCCTTAAATCTGTATTTTTGTATCCTTTGGGTAAATACCTAGTAGTACAATTGCTGGAACATAGGGTAGTTCCATTTTTAACTTTCTGAGGAACCTCCAAACTGTTCTCCAGAGTGGCTGCACGCATTTGCATTCCCACCAACACTGTACAAGGATTCACCTCTCTCTGCATCCTCACCAACACCTGTTGTTTCTTGTGTTGTTAATTTTAGCCATTCTGACAGGTGTGAGTTAATATCTCTTCATGGTTTTGATTTGTATTTCCCTGATGATGAGTGATGTTGAACATATTTTCATGTGTCTGTAAGCAATCTGGATGTGTTCTTTGGAAAAGTGTCTATTCATGTCTTCTGTCCATTTCTTAACTTGATCACTTGGTTTTTGGGTGTTGAGTTTGATAAGTTCTATATAGATTTTGGATACCCTTTATAAGATATGTCGTTTGCAAATATCTTTTCCC